AATACTGAGGACTTCAGGACCTTCTCCACACACCTCTACTGGGTGGAGGGGGGAATCTAGCCCAGGCAGAGGGACTCGGAAGACCAGGATGAGGCTTAGCCAGGGGACGGGGCCGTATGGGTGGGACTTGTCAGCAATGGGTCAGCCCAGGATACCAGGTCCCAACCCAGTCACCCAGAAGCAGCTTTGGGCTCTTAGAGGGAAGCCCCAGTTTCAATCTTGCCCACCCACATAGGGCCTGGGGAGCCCACAGAACCCTTCGGTTTTCTCATTCACTGAATCAGATGCAGGGGCAGGGGATCAAGTCCTGAGGACACATGAGAGAAGAGGTAGGCTCGGAAGGGGGTTTTGTAACTGGGGTCCCTCTGCTTGTAGGCGGCAAACCTTTGGCTCTATGGCTCTGTGCCTTCAAGTCCACACCCCATGGAGCTTCGACTTCTCACAAAGCCTCCCTCGGAGACCCAGGCCCAACCCCTGCTTGCCCAGCTCTCTAGGAATGGGGCCTCCATCTGTCCGGGAGTTCCTTTAAGCTGCTGGCATTGCAGAGAGCTTCCCTTGGAGCTCTGGAGGAGGGTTCTTGGATCATCAGGGACTACTTGCCTCACAGACAAGACCACTGGTTCCCCCTGGCATTTGTGGGGTGGAAGGCACGTCCCTATCCCACCCACAGCAGCATCTTTCAGTGTGGACACACTCTCAGCCGAAATGCCTCTGTCTTCTGATCCAGCACAGCTGGGCAGGGAGATGTGGCCAAACTTCGAGCCGTCACCTAAGGTTCTGGAGAAGTGGGCAAAGTCGCCTTCCTCAGCCACTCCAGTGGCTCCCCAAGCTCCCTTCTCTTTGCAAGCTGAGACCTTTGGGAAGTGGTTCAAGTCCCTGATTACGGCCTCCCTTGGAACTTTTCACCATCTTCACCTGTTTATCACAATTATATTCGTCTTCACCATCGCCATCATTATCATCTACACTTGGATCGTCTTGATCAAGTACTGCTGGGTAAAAGGCGCTTGAGACAGGAGACAGAGCACAGAATCCACGAAGACTGGACCAAATTGCTTGTCCCCACCTGGGCACCTGAGGCCACCTCTTTGCTCAACCCATGCCTCTTGCCCTCAGCTGACAAGACATTCCTAAAGGAAAGGGCTGCTGCTTTGGAAGTCGACCTGAGTTCCTCCCTACTGGGGAGCTGGGTTGGCAAGACACTAGGACACTTTCCTGCATGGAAATCACCCCTGTGACAAATGCTCACCTGCTTCTCGTCTTCAGACTCAGTAATATCAAGCCTGTCCTGGACTGTGACCAAGGTGGCTTGTATCTCTGGTCTAGAGGAATCTGTTATTAATTGGGGACAAACAGACTCTTTGATAGCAGCAGACACCCAGACATGTGTGGCCCATCGAGTTCAGCCAAGGTTTCAATGGGAACATTCACTGCAGGAGACTCTGGGTTCTTCAAACTCGGGACAAAAAGGAAGAGTGTACTGTCTCTTGGTGGCCCAGTCCATGCTTTTGAAGCTGTCACAGCCAGGAAGCAACTCTTCCTTAAAATCAACCACAATTTCTTCATTCACATTCCTTGAATGGTCAATCTTTCCCCCTGGAGGCCTGTCTCAGAAATGCACTGAAACAACTTACATGCTATGTTACCCAAGAGCAGGGATCTCAGGCAGGTGACATCAAAAGCAGCCCCACTCCCAGGAGGTAACATTCCACTGCCAAGACCGGTCCCAAACATCTGCCCCCTGTGGTGAAATGGGAATAAACCAAACGATTTCTCAGTACATTCAACTTCTCCGGAGTTCTCCCAGGCTACCATCTTGGTAGAAAACGGGACTTATTCCCTTAGGGGCCCCACCCTCCTCAGAAAGAGACCCTGACCCTGACAGGTTTTCCTAAAACCCAGTGTATTAGTGCATCTAGCCAACTCGGTCTATAAAATTCATTCCTGTGTTGGCAGCTTGCAACTTCACCAGAAAGGTGATGTTGCGTGAGAGTTACAAGGCCTCAGACTCTTGAGGGTTGACCACAGGCTGAGAAAGAAGGCCTGAATCCCTGTGGCTAGGCCGACCCAGAAGCACCCCCATCCATCCCTGTAAATAGAGTCCATAGCAAAACGAAAGATGTTTCCTCCAATTTATCACAAGTAGCTGTTGGTCCTGCCTATGGGGGGCCCCCTCTTCTGAGCTCATTGTACATTAGTTGGAAACGTGGTGATGTGCTGTCCGTTTATAGGAAGTTGACTTTTATATCTATATATAAATATATACACTAAAAAAAAGAAAGAAAACCCCCGCAGTGTGTGTCGTGCTAGTGCCAGGGACCATCTGTAGGGATATATCTGCATATCGTGTGTTTCAAATGATACATTCCAGTCTCTGTTGGGTTCTTTCATTTTTATTGCTTTGTTTTTCATTTGGTATTTCTCTCTTGCTGTGGAAAAAAAAAAAAGAAGTGATGTGTAAGAACCAAGGTCTGCTTTTATACTTTTATATTTTCCGTGATTTACATTTGCCGTTCTTTTGCCAGAGGAACATGAAGGAGCAGAGAGATCGGGGAATGAGAGAGAAGGAGAGAAGAATCAAGAGAGAGAGGTTGGTTTGCCCAGAAGACAAGGGAGAAGGTCAGATTTCCAATCTGGCTATGGCCTGAGAACCGGGCGGGTCCCAGACTTTGATCCCTCCACTGAAATCCAATGTTGTTTGAGGCGGAGCGGGTAAAGCATTCTGAGATTTGGATCCTGGAACTTGTGAAACTCCGTGGTTGCCCAGAAAAGACACGCTCTGGGGCCTCTCTCTGATGGTTGTTCTCATCAAGCTCCCGAGGGTGCCATTCGCTATGGGTGCATTTTGAGGTCAACGGATCTTCTCTCCTCCCCTCCTGCAGAGGCACCAAACCCAGGCCAGCGGGGGGCACTCCGGCCGCCATCTGGAAATGCTCAGAGACCTATGTGTATCCAGTGCTCTCTCTGTCAGCTCTCACAAGGCCCATCCTCTACCTGGAAACTATCTGCATAGCACTCTAGATCATTCCTTCTTCCTAGGAACTGCAACTTGGTTGCATCCGTGTTTGACTCACAGCCATTTTCCTCCATGTGGGAGTGTGTGTGTGTGCGCGCGTGAGAGCATGAGTGGGGTGTCCGCGTGGGCGAGTGGGCGCGAAGGAGTGTGTTTAAATATAATCGCACCATAATTTATTCAGCTATATGGAGTAGTAGACTAGAAAGAGAAACTGGCATTTGCTTTAACTACCTGCTTGTAAGCGCTTCCTCTGTAACTCAGGCGTAACTGTTACATATACATTAAAAAGAAATTAAAAGCATTTCCAAGATGCCATGTACTCAGTTGATTGCCATTGTGTGGCTGCCTTTAAAAAGGACTGAAGGGGCAGTCAAGAAGCCCTTTGACTTAATTTAGAGGGTCAGGGTAGGGACTGCATTTCTCTTGCTCCCCACCAGGTCCCCCAGGTCTAGGCAGCTGCTGGACGCAGAGTGGAAGATTCATTAGTATTTGATAAATGGATACTGTACTCAAGCATCTCTCCCGTGAGACCTCAGTTTTCTTCAACAGGACAAACTTTTCGTGTTGCTAGACTTAGAACCCTCTGTGGCCATCTCCCAGTGTATAGAATTTGGAAGGTAGGAGAGAGCTCAGAAGCTTCCATAGTGCCTTAGAAGTGGAGCCTGATACGGAGATTCTTGGACAGGTGAGTGACTGAGGGAGAGTTCTCAAGAGACAGCTGTAAGAGGGTGAAGGAAGCAAGCCAGGGCTGGGGAACGCGCCAAGCAGAGAGGAGGTTTTACCTGGAGTCTAGCCTCCACCTGACACTGCAGGGAGCTCAGGAGGGTGAGTTGTAGCATGGAGTTAGTCTCTCCTTAAGACCAGGGGACTTTTGTTTGCACAGTTCAATCATTCATTAGCTGCCAGGCTATCCCTGGGATGCGGGTGGATGGGTAAAGGTCATGTGTCCTCAAGGGCCTCCAGTCAAAGTGGCTCCTATGGGCTGAGGGCAGTTCTCCAAGAAAGATGCAGCAGCAACATTCATACCAGTTAGGGGGCAGGTGATCTGGGCCAGTGAAAGGGCACCTGGGCAAGGACCAGCACCATCTATGCCATGTGTGTTCCCCTGGCTCTAAATGAGGGCACTTAATGTTGTTCCAGGGTGCTGGGTGCTGGGTGCTTTACTTGGATGATCTGAACACAAAGAGGGGCAAGTTGAAGGAGTTGTTGGGAGGAAGTGTATAAGAAGGATTAATAAGACGTACATGAAGGACCTGAGTCCATCCAGCCCAGCCAAGTTCTCTTCCCAGGGTCTGAGACCAGCTGGAAGGCTACCCAGCATCCTTCTTCACATAGAATCCCTGCAGTGTGATGAGCTCTGTACCAGCCTCATATGGAATCCAGGCAGCAATGTTAGATCCATGTCTCCCAACCACATTTCACCCCAGGTCTCTCTCCCTACCTGCCCACCACCCCAACAGAGCCATTGTCTTTCGGTAAGTCAGGAAGATACAGGGGAGAGTCAAGAACTAGTCAAGTTCTACTCTTAGCTCTGCATATGACTTGCTGTGGGTCCTGAGACAATTTTCTTCCCCCTCTCAGACCCTATTTCTATATATTTTTAAAAAGCTGGCTAGATGATATCTAAAGATCTTGCAGGTTACCGTGACAATGGGCTGAGTCAAAGGCTGGTCTTGAA